TGTGCCTATTGAATCCACACTTCTGTCACTGTACAGCAATGTAACTTGACAATCGAACGTGACCGTTGTGTTTGGCGAGCTTAGTTTGGGTCTATCACATGACCATTCAACAACTATATGACCATTCAATCTACCGTTTTGTTGTTGTGTTTTGCAAAAACTTTGGCCACAGAGCTGCATATTCCTACCGTTGATGTCACCATATGCACAGGTTGTGTTGTTGCCTTTTGTAGACAAATCGGCTTGGGAAAAGGAAGAAATTGGACAACCCGAGGCAGAATCTGATTCGAGACCAGGATGGTTCCAAAGCACCAGCGTCTCGCACCAGCCACTGCTCAAATGGCTCACAAAAGTCCAAGCCATAGAAGGCGGCCACTGTCGCAACGAATCGCTGCGACACATTTGTTGATCGAGTCGTGGAGAAAAACGGGTTCAAGCGTCTGAAAAGTTGATGGATTGCAGCCAGTGACGACGCCTTCGAACGAAGCCAGTGACGCCATGTGGGATGCAGAGTGAGCTGCGCTCGGTGGCACAGAAAGTGGGGCTTCAGGAGAGTCGCTGGGAGTGGCTGAAGGATGCCACGAACGGAGCGGTAGCGGGGTCGTTTGGATGTTCGGTCAACTGCTTGGATGTAGGGTCTAACACCAGTTAGAAAGGGTCAATCAAGGGGTCTATGCAAGATTTGATCACCAAAGGGTACGGAGAAGTCATGCTATTTCGTCAGGATCCAACAATCAAAACGAGTGTGTCGGGAGAGCTTCACCCACACCTGAAGTGGTAGGGGAAATCATCACCCATCAAGCTTTGACGCCAAAAAGCGGGTCCAAAGACTTGGCCAACTGGTCCCTCCCCTCGTGAGGACGACCGTGGCGCGTTCCTCGACATCTTGGAGTTGGATCCAAAGAACGCTCAGGCCGAAGATGCACATGGTCCACGAGGGGGTCCTATGTTGGCGGCATATGGCGTTTTCCCCCCCAAACAGTGTGTCCACACTAGGGGTTCCTACGGTAAGAGTTAAGGACGGGTGTTTCATTGGAGGTGCATATCGAAGCGTCCGGCTGATTCGCTGCTATTTACAGTGCATTCATTCACCTCGGAGTCTTCGAAGTGCATTTCGACTGCGCAGGCTCGCAGAATCTGGTGGGCTGGCACGGGTGCTCTTCAAGACTGGCACTTCGTGCATCTCCATGGATATGGCCAAGTCCTTGGGATACCAGCCGACAGCGCCAGACGCCAAAGTGTCCAAAGCCGGTTCCGGAGAAGTCGTTGAGGACTTCCGAAAAGCGGAAGGCCCGAAGCACTGGGCATCGGATCTAAGGCCATCCATGACACCGGCACTTTTTGCATCACGGGAGTTGCGAAACCTTTGTTGTCAGCAGGCGCACTGGCGAACAAGAGAGCATCACGAGGAACAACGTGCAGGTTCCGGTGAACTTCGCCAACGGGGTCTATCAAGTCCCTTTGACATTTCATTTCACCCGGCACCGTACTGGGTAAGTCCGGTAGCAGATGAGTCAGCAGGAGAATGGAAAGTGGCAATTCCACCATTTGGGGAGACGTTCAAACACCTCAAACGTGGTTAAAGCTGTGAGCAGATTGCAGGAACACCAACAGGAGCACACACTGTCCAATCCACTCGGCGCAAGACCGAACAGGACAAGTACGATCTTGAAGACAATTTGAGGTGTACCTTGGGATCCACAGGGTGTGCTGCGCATGAAGAGCCAGCCGCACTTGTTTCAAGAGACCCTGCCATGGCAAGCCCAAAGTGGAGACTTCATATCACCAAGAAGATCTAGAGAGAGATTTGCATACACAGCAGGATGCCCAGCCTGCGACGCTACAAAGATCGAAGAAGCAGGATATGTGTACTCAGGCATCCCTCTCCACCTCTAGACTTCTAGAACTCTGGACATAGACCTTCAACCTCCATCACCACCATCACCACGACTACCATCACACCACCACTACCATCACCACCATCACCATCACTACCACCACTATCATCACCACTTTCATCGCCACCACCAGCACCAGGATCTCCACCTTAATCACCATCATCACCGCTATCACCTCTCTCTGGAGCCCAACGCGTCTAGATCTCTAGACCTAATCACCATCATGACCGCTATCACCTCTCTCTGGAGCCCAATGCGTCTAGATCTCTAGACCTTCTGCTTCTACTGCTTCTACACCTCTAGACCTTAGACAGGTAAACACACTGTTTGGGGTCTTTTGCCGGGATAATTTGAGTTTTACATTGTCTACATGTATTAAACCTATGTTGAGAGGGCGCTTGCGATGTATTGCACGCCAACCGCCCATGAATTGGGCACAGCTTTGACCTCAGAGACTGAGAAGGACGATCTTCGCCTCTCCAAGCAAGGCTCTGAGAGAACCACACCTGGTACCCATCGGCACCCTCCGTGCTTCCCCGTGCGAGCGAGGCCTTTGAAAATCTGGGCTCGACCCTTCTCCCAGGTGGGGTGACTCGTCGGGACCGGCCCAGCCGGCTCCGAGGGGCGGGGGTGTGGAATGGTCAAGGACAGGGCAGTGGACTGCGTTTAGCGCATAAAGGGCCATGGCAAGAGATGAATTCCAGGTGATTGCAATCCTTTGCATCGTCGATGTGTTGTGTGGGCCATTGTTGACGATGCACGGATCTTGCAACAAATATATATATATATATCTTCTGCGGAGAGCTCCTCGCAAAAAAAAATCGCCCCAACAACATCAGCAGACAACGTCTCAGAGCATCTGAGTCTGACATAAAGAAAAAAAACATACTAGGTGTGGCAAATTCAGCTGGTGGAGTTTGTGCATCAATTTGATTGCGGCTGGCTCTATTGTGCAGTCACAGTTCGCCGCAAGTTGGCGTCAGGTCAAAGCTTGCAGCTACCAGATGGACTCTTGCCGCAGCCCAAGTTATGGAAGTGACTTGCATGGTCATGTTTGTTCATAAGCCAAGGGGTCGATTTTTTGAGATGGTGGAATGGACTGGACTTCTGAAGTGACATGTTGGGAAGTGACTGGGGAGGATAGATGTTGCCCCTTCGTTTTCTTTCAAAAAGAAACTTCACTTATGCGGCCGATCCCCTTCATACCAAGGGGTTTTCCTTTGTGACCACCAACTTGAGGCTGCCGAAGAAGGCCTTGCACTTGAAGGCCTTGGAGTTGGACTCCACACATAGCGCGCTGGCCGCAATGGATGGACTCGGCTGGATTTCATTGTGTCCAAGTGGATAGACTCCACGAAAAGATCTCGGGGAAGAGTGGAAAAAGCATTCTCTGTGTAGCTTATTGTCCTAGTAGCTTATTGTTTCTAATAGCTTCTTGTTACTACTAGTAAGGCACTTGTTACTAGAAGCGATGCCAGGAGCCCCTACTAGTGTCCTTGCTGTGACCTCGAGACGATGAACCGAGCTGTCCGGCGACACGGCGAGGTCACGCGCACAACAACTTGGCCGTCTCCTTGAGCCCTGGCGAGGTGTCTCCTGCGAGGGCCGCGGTCGAGCCGAGCTGGGGAAGTTCAAAAGAACTCGCTGTCAACGTTCAACCCAATGCGGATACAAAGAATTTGTTAAAAAGCGCTACCTGCGATTTGTCATGAAACTATCTTCGTACCCGACGTGAAAATCCCCACGGGATTTGAGTTTGCTCCTTTCTTTTTAGATGGAGTGGATTTGCTTAGATGGAGAATCATTTTCTTTTACACAGAAAAAGGATGCTTCCAGAGGACAACCCCCTGGGCCGTTGTGGTGGATCACCCTCACCCCCCCCGGGTATCCCGTTTTGCGGGTTCGATGCGCCAGGTGATCACCTTGCCCGGCTCCTTTGCGAACGCCACGCAGCAGTCGCTCTTCCAACGGGCCGTCCGGGCACCCCGGTGGAACCGGCCATCGCTAGTAGGTGGTTGGAGGCCATGGTCACAGAATGCAGGTTGTGTGCGGTGGTTTTTTTCAATATCTCCAATGACAATTGGTGGTAAGTTTCTGAGGATTCATTGAAGTCTATCATCTCTCAGCTTGTTTAATCAGTGGCGTTCCGTGGCGTTCCGGGTCGTCACATCAAATGGTCGGTGATAAGAGTCTCGGAGTCGCAATTCCAGTTGAGTATCCAATCATGGCAATTTTAGACAGGAATGAAGTTCACTGTTGAAGTTCATCGGGACTTGGGCAGTTTAAGGGAGGAACACCGGACCATCTGGATGAATGACAAGGCCACTTGATCGCTTTGTCAAGATGCGCGAAGAGCCGTGCAAGAAACTGTTTCGCTTCTTGTAACACCTTTCTTTATAGATCTGTATATTACGTAGCACTTTTTTTTGATCAAAGACCTGAGAGCCATCAAATGGTGTAACAGCCTCACCGGCACATCTACACATGATAATCACCCCCCAACATGTGCAGCCGGAACCGCATGTTCCCCGACCAAAAACGCCGCGCCCAGACCGCCCAGAGCGCTCCGCCTTCCGCCGCCTCCGTCGGCGACGTCGCAGGTGGAATTGGATCCTCGGAACGCCGTGGCGCACTGCAACCTGGGCGTCGTCTTGGAAGACCGGAAGGCCCACCGTGGTTTTAGACGATCTGGACGGGCGTAGGGGTGGTGGACGTGGGGAGCCTTTGGGGGGGTACGTTGGGGAGGAGCGTTTTTGGAGCCTAGAGTGGGGGGACGTGGTGTAGATGGAGATCCTTTTCGGAGGGTACCTTGTTTCGTGCATTTGCTGTGTCTTCACGGCGATTCCGGTTTTGGCATGGCGCCAGTTGATTCCGAGGTCGACCGGTCCTTGGGGTCGGATGTTGTGGCGACCTCGTTCTTCGTTCTTCGGTGGGACAGGCGCTGTTCGGTTCGGACAGCTGTTCCGTGTCGGCCTTGAGGACCTTGTCTGGCTCCGTAGTTACGACCCGCACGGCCGTTCCAAAAAACCGGCAACAAGAACCTGCCCAGATCTGCTCAGCTTTTTGAGCGGCACCAGCTCCAGAATCCAGTTTCTCCGCGACAGTTCTGGCTCCAGCTTCCCTTCTATCCAGCTCGGAACAAGTCGTCGTGATGGCCGCAGAACCACACTACGTCTTTGCCGAGAAGAACACTTTTTTGGAGGTTCGCCTGGAGGAGGACTACGAACTGATTTTGAGTTCGTCGGGAGTCAGGGAAGAAAAGGACTGAAGAAGATCACCTTAGATCACTCTTATCCGGATCTACCAGTGATAGAGAGGAAACGGACTTTTTGTAAAACAAAAGAGCGGAGAAGGGCAAAGCCATCGTTTGGAGTGTCTCTCTGTTCAAATACGCCAGGTCCATGTTTTTTTGATGTGACAAGATGTGCCTTTCTTTCGAGGATGTGCCAGCGCCGATTCGACAGATCTCATGGTCGGCGAGAGATCACCAGACGTGTTTTTCCTTTTTGTTGTTTTGGGTTTTCATTTAGATGTTTGTTGATTTGAACTTGTTTATTTAAGCCTTTTGACAGACCTTTGTGGCTTCTTTTCCCAAGGTCGGCGGGAGATAACCAGACACCTCGTCTTCAGCTGGACTTACAGAGTCCCAACGTTGACCAACATCGCAGCGGCGCATGCCAGCCATGTGTTTTCTTCGCCAGCCGCCGTGGGTGTGCAGCCGGTCCGACTTGCGGCTTCTGCCATTTGGCTCACTCCAAGAAAGCCATCCATCGTCCCCAAAAGCCACTTCGGGAGGAGATGAAGAAGGCAGTGCAAGATGTCCTGCGAGTCTCGGTCGCTTGGCTCCCAGAAACGGGTACAAACCCTGCAACTCTCGGGATCGCAAAAGCAAACCCCCCCAAAAGCTACCCGCGTGGAGAGGTGGGGGTGCTAAGTCTTCTATTTTGTTACTAGTAGCGTGGCACTTGTTTCTACTAGCTTCTTGCTCCTAGTAGTAAGGCACTTGTTCCTAGTAGCTTCTTGTTACTAGTAGCGTGGCACTTGTTACTACTAGCTTCTTGCTCCTAGTAGTAAGGCACTTGTTCCTAGTAGCTTCTTGTTACTAGTAGCAAGGCACTTGTTCCTAGTAGCTTCTTGTTACTAGTAGCGTGGCACCTGTTCCTACTGCGTCTTCCGATGTTGCACGGGTCCGAGGATCCACAAGTGCGGCGTATAGCCGTCCACAAGATGGCAGCTCAGCATGAATACATGCGTCAGTTGCTCATCGGTTTCCTCAATGCCATGTGCCTCGGACTTTCGGGAATGGGTTGTTCAGGTCAAGTATCCACAACCATACCATCTCTGGGCCACCTTTTTCCACAGAACTCATACCATGTTTGTCCTTTTTTGCTCATGGCCAGGGCTTCTTCCCTAGTTCGGACGATGTGTTTCAGTGTCCCCGGACTTGGCAAAACCACCCGTTCGGACGCAGAAGTCGGACCTCACTCTCCGGGACCGCCCCCACTCGGAAGCGAAAGGATGGTCTGGAACTTGTGAGTGTGTAGCCGCCACCCGGGGGTTCGGTTCCAGAAAATCGAGCCGACCAATTGGTCCAGGGTGTTTTTTTCCTATTAATGGCGATGCCTCCAACCTAAAAAATACACACCCCAAGTGAAGCTTTAGATTTGAAGTGAAGCACTGTCTCCAGGACATGAACGAAGAACTCAATCTCGTGGCTGTTTCTTTGGCCGACTGCCACGCTCTATCAGGACCGGGTAGCGAGTTGAAGAAGGGTAGCATGGAGAGTACATGGATCGAGGCCGTTTGAGGCAACGGGATCATTTGATGTTTGACTACGGGCATCCTTGTTCCTAGTAGCTACTTGCTCCTAGTAGCGATGCCAGGAGCCCCTAGTAGCGTCCTTGTTTGGAATTGCATTTCTGGAGGTTTGTGTGACCGCTTGTGGATCATTTTTGAATTTGTGGAAGGATAGCACAGCCACGAGTTCGCCAAACACTCAACTGGCTGAGCAAGCCAGAGCATGCCTAGGCAAGGCTGCCTTTTGTGGACCAAAAGCCCTAGTTCTTTAAGGATTTACGGATTGGCCTCCTCTCCCCAGGATTCTGTTCTGACAGACTATAGGATGTCCGTTTGCAATCCATCACCGAGTGCGTTGGCCGGTTTGGGGGGGGGGGACCACCGTCATGGGGCCACATTTCAAGGCCACAGAGTGGCCTCCGTCCTCCCGAAATCGGAAGCTGGACGCCCAATTCGTCGTCGTTTCGGCTGTTCTGGACCGGGAGGAGACGATGAGTTCGTTCGATGTCCTTTGGGGGGTTCATGTCATTTGGCCGAACTGGAGTTCCAGTTGAGGTCGGTCAAACTCAACTACCTTGTGGGCCAGGTTTCTTTGCGGTTCAGCCACCTCTCCAGCCCATTCCTGGGGACCGATTTGGGGCAGAACGATGTGGATGTGGGAGATGCCAAAGAACAGCACAGATGGTTTGCCATCGGGTTTGTTTTCAACCAGCTTCTCCAGCTGAGCCACCATCCTTTTTGGAACCACCAAAAAGCCATGACACAAGCATTGATTCATCCGGTTTCTTCACAGACAACGCTTGGCATCATAAATGTTTGTTCATTAGTTTTTGCAAACGGGCACTCGAAAAGAGTTCAACACATCTCGAACTCAGCTGTCTCCTTCTGCAGCTCCTTGCTACAGCCTAATGCCCGCAGCAACTGCACCGCTACACTGCAAAGCAGAGTTTCGTGTGGAGCCAGTTCAAACACTGTCTGTCGGGTGGATCCGTGGCACCTTTTGTGTGAGAGAAAGATCTGCCCAATGTTGCAGATCCCCACAAGTGCCACTGGCGACACAGAGATCACCTGAGGACAGGTCTGAGTTGCTGAACCCGGAGAAGAAGCATAGGAAGGTAGGCCTTTTGGGGCTTGAGCTTGAGAGCACAAAACAACAGGAGCATGTTGGAAACCCTCTTGCTTTTCGAAGAAATTTGGACAGCCTCTTGGAACCAAAGCCTCATGGTGTCCCAATGCAGTGCTGCGTTTAGTTGCGTTTCAGGTTTCAATTGGCACGAGTGAGTGCCAGTTCCACCGCACTGTCGCTGGGAAAAGATCAAAACATGCCGCCCCCGCGCCACGTTAGGAGTTTCAACATTGCGATTCTTGGTGAACTCATTCACTCTCCCTACCAGCTATCAAGGGTGGTGGCCGGTTTGAAAGAGATCAGGAGGTTCCGGAAGCACTTGGATTCGTTCCTCCACTCAATTCACCGCAAGAGATCCAATTCGACGGTCTTTGTTTTGTGAGGCATAGTTGCTTGGGGTGGAGGTTATGCCATAGTGACGAGTGATATTGCTTGGAGCTTGCAGATGATGAGATTAAACTGGCCAAATGCCCAAACCGATCCGAGCTTCACGAGCAGGGTATCCTTGGGAAGTCCACATCACAGATGTGACGTCCTTTTCCCTCCACGTTTGTCAGTTTGTTTTCCTGCAGTTGAACAAAAGAAGAATGCCAAAACAATGTCTTTGCGAAGAAAATGAACAAAGCCGACCATTTTTCCACAGCTCGCTCTCCCGCAGCTCGCTCTCCACAGTTCTTGCCCCATCCCCGGCCAACCGACCTGGCGGCGATGGCAGGTGATTCGATTGGAAGACGGCACCCTTTGGGACAAGCGAAGCTTGTACATCCGGTCCATTGAACTGGACAGCTCCGGGAAGGGAGGGGTGGAAGGCCGGTGGGATGAGGCCTTGGTGAAGGTCTGATTTGAGACTGGATTGCTCTACTGGCAGGTATTATCACCCTTAAGACCGCTGAGCATACACTTGCTTGTTTGCATGGGCTCGATCTTCGTACGCATCATGCGGCAAGAATTCATGACGGCTGCATCGAGCAAAACCACAGAGATGATAATGTGTTTCTTCCTGCTTTGGTGGTGTACCAGCTTTCCCACGAAGCCTTGGTGGGAATGATTCTGACAGAGCCTTAGTGGAAAGAGTGCAAAGCCGCTATCCAAAGCCCGTTCACAGGAAAGCTATTGCCCCATACCTTCCTATCCAAGAAAAATCCAAGCAGATAAAAGCAGGTTCACTTCGGGGTCTTCGGGGTTCCCTCCTGCTCTTTTGTCACCAATGAACACTATTTTGAGTTTTGAGTGCCCAATACAAGAAACTAAACATGCCCTAGCGAACTCGTTGGAGGAATAAATTGATCGTCCTATGCTTGTTCGATCGCCAGCTGGGCGAGGATCCCAGCTATGCCTTCGCCTACAACAACTTGGCTGTGCTTTTGAAGGCCAAGGCCTGGGCATTGGATGGTTTTTTTTGTTGTTTCCAGCGAACGAAAGTTGAAACTCGTCACTGGAACATCGGTTGAAGGCTGAAGGTCACTGCTTTTCGTTTGGTCGTGTACTCATTGAGAGAGCCATCTTTAAGGTCTATGGTCAAGACTCACATTTAAATATGTATCCACTTGCTGCCAGTCACACGGAAAACTCGATGGTGTGGAGTTTGGAAGATTACAAAGATGTGAGCACTGCACAAGTTCGTTGGAGAGTTCAGGCATCCAAGGTCGTAGGTGTCGACTCCATGTTTTTTGTTGAAAAAGTGTCACACGGCCTTCACCAGCGAGACGATTGATTTAGGTAAATTCGATCAATCCAATCACGAAAACTTATTTTTGTTCATTGTCAGCGCCAAAGTCTTCCAAGTTCAACTGAACATCGACCATCTACAGCTCTCGAACGATCAAGCTTCACACCCCGAAGGACCATCATCTAAAACAAGCTTCACTCCTCCATTTGCTTCTTTCGAGTGTTCCACCAGTGTTCCACCAGTGCTCCACCAGTGCTCCGCCAGTGCTCCACTCCGCTTCCCCCTTTTCACGAAAGCTAGCCTTAGCTAGCTGAAGTTGCTCTTGCTTTGCAAGTTAAATGAAGGGGTGGACGCACCTCAGAAACCTCAAATAATTGATTAAATCAATCTTATGGACCCCCCCCCGGGAGTTCGACTCCCCCCTGCGCGCGGTGAGCGGGACCACCAAGCAGCTGCAGCACACCAAGCATCTGCAGTCTACACCAAGCAGCAGCAGCAGCAGAAGCAGCAGACCCAGAGCAGCAGCAGCAGCAGCAACAGACCACCCAGCAGCAGCAGCAGACCACCCAGCAGCAGCAGCAGACCACCCAGCAGCAGCAGCAGACCACCCAGCAGCAGCAGCAGCAGCAGACCACCCAGCGCCAGCAGCAGCAGCAGCAGCAGACCACCCAGCGGCAGCAGCAGCAGCAGCATACCAACCAGCGCCGCAGCAGCAGCAGCAGCAGACCACCCAGCGCCAGCAGCAGCCCCGGGGGTTCGTCTCCCCCCTGCGCGCGGTGAGCGGGACCACCAAGCAGCTGCAGCACACCAAGCATCTGCAGTCTACACCAAGCAGCAGCAGCAGCAGCATACCAACCAGCGCCGCAGCAGCAGCAGCAGCAGCAGACCACCCAGCGCCACAGCACTGCGCAGTTTAACCTTGATGACGCAACGCGTTTCCGGTGTAGAAGGGTCTTTGTTTCGCAGGGTGGTGCACCCAGACGTGGTCTGGTACACCAGGGGGTGGTCTGGTACACCAGTGGCATGTCCAACAAGACGCTGCACCATCTAACCGATACTGTGGATGGAAGAAATCGTGCACCAGCAACTGTGTCGAGCCCCCAGCAAGAAACAAATCCTAACCCCGCACCCCCATATCAATGTTGTGCTGATGGATGCTTGACGTGGTGCAGGATAATTTGTGCCATTCAATTTGTTTTCCTTGAGCATGGTTTCAGCCCTGCAATGTTAAAGAGGGAGCGCGAGGGTTTGTAATATTATGCGCCAAAGGTGGTGCAGGATTCTTTCCACCCACCGTATTAATGAAAAGGTTCTTGTTTTCAGTTACTTGGAGATATTCTGAGGGATTCAACTCCCATGGACTGTGGAGAAAAATTGGATCGACGTTATCGGTTTCTGGGTATGTAACGGTCACCAGGTCTCGCACATGCATATTTCTCTCTTCATCGGCCATGTTTTTGGAATTCGTCAGCGACATTTTCTTGTTTTCAGTTACTTGGACATATTGTCAGGGGTAGTGATGGATTTGCCTGCTCGCGTAGTGTGTTTTCAAACCAGGACGAAGTGGTTGCTTGAAATAATGGTGTGGTGCACGGCATGAATTTGAGTAGTTCAAGTTATCACTAGGCATGTCCAAAGACAGCTTCAATGAGCAAGTTATTTCATGCACAGGTACCTTTCAAGTAGGACGCAAAGGAAACTGCTCTCCTTTAACTTTTTTCTGCGAGTACTAAGCTGTCACGAAAAGGGGCTACGGTCAACGCATCCCTATCGACTTTACAATCAAACCGAAACAACCCACAGAACCGACAGACTCGCTCTCCCCTCCCAGATTGTCTGGGATAAGGAGGCTGTCGGGTTCCTTTGAAACAAACGAACCAAAAAGTAGTCGCGAGCCCCCCAGCATTTTCTGGGCATCGCTAGGGATGTAGTCTCCAGAACGCTTCAACACCTCATTCCCCTTTCGAATGAAGTTTAAAGTAGAAACGCCCATGACCACATGTTCAAAATCCCTCTGACAGCTCTAAACATTAAGTCAACAGATCCGGGGAACCTGTCGACACAATCATCAAAACTTCAACCGGTCCGGGGAACCTATTGAATTAACCCTACGCCACTCACTGGAAGATCATGCCGTCCACCTTGATCTAGGCATTCCTCCCTTCTGCCACAAAGGTGAAGAACAAACTGACGCCCTTCCAGCGACTTCTCAAACAGGGCATTCCCCTTCCACAACGGTTGTCAGCACGAGCAAACATGCCACCACTCTCAAAGGCACCAATAGTCACCACCCCTGAAGATAATCCTCCTCCCACAGGGTAGTCCATGCTCTCGGTGTCATAGAGCTTCTTCCGCAGGTTCTCATGCTTGTGCATCCTGATGTGGATAGATCCACCCCACGTCACGATCTCAAAGAATGACGGTGGACTTTGATGGACACCCGTGCTCAGCTGTTTGTACAGCTCCCTCGGGAACATCCATCGAAATTCCCTCAACTCTCCTTCACTCCTTCACTGAGGTTATAGATGAACTGAGAGATCGGCAAATTCCTTCGATCCTCAACAATCCCAAAGAAGATGTTTACAGGAAGCGGACTAATCCCAGAGGAGTTCTCAACTTCAATCTGACGAACAAGTTCCCTGGTATCCTCAGAGCTAGCTGCCGCACTCCTCAGACTTCTCACAGACACCCCAGTACTCCCAAAGCCTCCTTGGCCCCGTCTGGT